CACCTGTTTCTGTCTTCTCACCATATGAAGGACTCAGCTAAAATAGGTGTTTTTAAAAGACAAAAACAACTTAACTACCATTGAACAGCCGGGTTTTTAACGAAATCGTGTAAGTTTCTTAATTATAAATCTCTTAATCAGCGTGTGCATTCAGTATGGTGTTGTGTTGACTAATAATGTATATAATTTGGTTTTAATTTTTCTAATAGATATTGGTGGTCTATGTTCAGAGGCGTATCCAGGTTTTCGTTGTAGGGGGAGCGAAAAGAGCAAAAAAAGGCGCCGAATTTTTAACACGTTCTATATACGTGTATTATATATATATATATATATATATATATATATATATATATATATATATATATATATAATTACTAGCTGTATATCATTACTTCGCTATAATGTAAAATAAATTGAAAGTAGCACTCTGAAGAAATAAGAAAAAGCACACAATGTAGGCCGACAAAACAAAAATTTTATCAATCTAAAAAAAAAAAAAAAAAAAAATATATATATATATATATATATATATATATATATATATATATATATATATATATATATATATATATATATATATACTACAACCAAAAACAATGAATGTAACACAATCTGTTTTGTAATTGTTGTAAACAAATTTCTTACATAATAATTCCAGGGAAATTATGTAAGACAAGTGAAATAGGGGAAATAATCACTCTCTTAATATAAATATGTATATATCTACACATTTAATTTTAAATGTCAAAACAAATAAATAATTATTTTAGAATAAAATGAAATTATTTAAAACTATTCGCTTTTACAAAATGTTTTTGTCTATAATCAGAATTTAATATATCGTCATCATAAATGCTAAAATATTACAGCATAATGAATTTTTTAAAAATCAGAGTTGGTATAAAACAACGCTTTTCGATATATCGGAACAACATTCGGAATAACAGCCTACATTTAAATAAATATCGGTCTTTTAGTTCAGATCATATATTATAATTAACTACTGCTTCTTTGTGTCCTTAAAGATCATTTTTAACAGTGGTAGGTATGGGTTAGATCACTGTATTGATCACACACCTTTTTACTGGTAATTGCAAAAACAACTTCATTCACCACTGTCCGTTCACTTTAGGTCAATCATCCAACCCAGTGTATACCTAGGTGTGACATTAATGTCGCTCTACACAATTGTGGTGGTGAGGTGTGTGTGTGGGGGGGGGGGGAGATAACCAACTCAGAGTGAACATAGCGTCAGTTTTTAGATGACTGTTCTTAACATACATATATATTACACAAATATATATTACACAAATATGTATTACAGAAATAGATTAAATAAGTAGTAGTGGTATTATGACAAAAAAAAATTTTTAACGAGGGGTCCATGGGGGAGGGGGGTTGTAACTGTTTCATATAACTTGTAATCGTAATCACTATCGCCCAAACTGTAAGAATACTACTACTTCATCATGATGACATTGTTGACCTTGTCGAAATTTCCCCAACACTAAGCAGTTTGCTCATAAGTAAATTTAAATAGAGGTTCCACATCAGTTGTATTTGTTTCTGTATTGTAATTTTTTTTTAAATTAATCGCACGATTCAAACTGTATATATATATATATAAAGTAATTATGTGTGAAGTTTTATGTATAACATTTTCTAATTCAATTATTCATAAGCAAATACATTATACAGTTGCCCTAAACTTAACACCCCTTTTGCCAAGTGGTACTACCGTAGAGGTTTTTTAAACATCGCAATGCATCGTAATGATTATTTTTAGAATGGCAAACTGATGCAGCTGTTAATACGTGTTGTAAACGTAGACACTACTAGACCAGTACAATAATGCTTAATTGCTGCATGAAAAGAAATCTTGTGATTTACATATATATGCCGACCAAAAATATTTTTTTAACAAATATCATTGTTTAAAACATCGAGTTTAAAAAGTTTCCAAAAAGGCGCCACTTTGCTGAAAATGGCCAGAGGAGGAGCGACCGCTCCCCCTGTCCCCCCCCCCCCCCCCCTGCGTACGCTACTGTCTATGTTATTTTAAATGTGTCGGATTTTTTAGCTATTTACTTTTTATTTATTCCTTTCTGTTGTCACTAATACCGTTCAACGTGTGGTAAAGCACATAGCATTTTGGCCAATAACTTTCTTATAAAAAAAAATTCTCAAACAAGTATAAACATTAAAATATATAGGCCTATAACGTGTACCGACGGCTAGTAATGGAGTAATGCATAAAATTAAAGACAACAAAACAGACAGAAAAAATCCTGTTGGTTTCTGTCAATTAAACAAATGACGCAATCTGCATAATTGTTTCAGGGTGCTATTTGGCGCTCTGGATTATCCTGTGAGCTGAGTACCAGGGTGCTTACGTTACTATTAGACAGGCACCGTACGTGGCGCCCGTGCGGTAGTGTAACCGGGGGCTCTCGCGTGCACCCCTCTACGTCCCTAACACCTGGGCGGTCACCGAATTGTGTTCTACCTCATTATTACCGTGAGTGATTAACGTACACTCAGGGATTTCATGCGGTAGGTAATCCCGTGCGCCGATAAATATGATCCAAGCGCTGGCATTGTTTACATTTAACTCAGTTTTAGAAAGAAAGGTCGCACGTCTAAGAATACAGGATTGGTAATGCATTGATGAAACGCTTTTTATATATTTCGTCTGCGGCAATGCGCGGGGACGGGCACGTTAGTATATAAATATAGTCTTATTTTTAGACTTGCCACTCCCTAATTCAATAACCTGCATACGCGGGGGGGGGGGGGAGGGAGGAGAGGGGAGAGTGAGTGGGGTGTTTGTTGTAACGACACTTAATAACTGGAGGGTGGGGTAAATTATTTTAAAAAAAGGATGAATTTATTATATATCTTGTCTCAACTACTTTATGTTACCTTCAGTGGTTTTAGCATGAGTAAAAAGTGGATTTTGTGTGAAGATAATTATTAGTACAGTTAAGGAAGAGAATAAAAACATGTTGAACAACAGCCAGTTTTTTTTTATTCTCATTAAATATAATTACTTACATAGTAAGTACAAAACCACAATTTGCTCTGCAATTTACATAAGTGTCAAAAGATACAAATAGTGGCTGACAAAGTTTGTGTGAACAATCAATGATACAAAATTAAATTGTGTCCAGTTTACTTAAGTGGTTACTTTCTGTGTGACTGCCTCATGAAAGGATACCAGACAACAACATTGAATGTCTGACCACCAGACAACAACATTGAATGTCTGACCACCAGACAACAACATTGAATGTCTGACCACCAGACAACAACATTGAATGTCTGACCACCAGACAACAACATTGAATGTCTGACCACCAGACAACAACATTGAATGTCTGACCACCAGACAACAACATTTAATGTCTGACCACCAGACAACAACATTAAATGTCTGACCACCAGACAGCAACATTGAATGTCTGACCACCAGACAGCAACATTGAATGGTAAAATTTTGCATCCACTTGCCAGGATATTTCTAGTGACTTATACTGTGGTTGTTTGACACTTTAAATACAGCAGCTGTTTACATTCCAACAGTGAACCATATGAGTTGGGTGAGGCAGGTTCCAGTGGAGGTCAAGACACAGACCCATCTCATATGGATCACGATCAGATTTTGTCAGGCAGTAGAAGGGTTCAGGGAATGCGCAAATGAAACTGGTGGGGTTTAGTACTTCCAAAAAGGCTAAGTTATAACCACTTTATTACAACTAAGAAAAGAGTTAATTTTTAAAGCCAGAAATATACTTTATAAGGATACATAGAACATGACATTTGATTTTTTTTTGCAGCCACTGATTCAATTTAACAATAACGTTTGGTCGGATCAAATTACTTTCATGTTTATCTAGTGCCATTTAATGGCTTCATTCACTCTTAAACACCAAATATAATGAATGCTAGTATAAATAAGCCAGTCACACATGAAGTACCTTTAAAAATCTATTCTGACTATAACCAGTATCTAAAACATTGGATTGAATTCACTTTCAAAAGATTAATCTTCCTCTGATATTCTATCATATCTTTTAAAGTGAACAATTTCTTATATATTTACAAATCAATAATAATACTCTATCAAAACTCAAACATGCACTAGTAATTGAAAACAAAACCAAAGGAAAATTGTACTGTCACCAAACTCACATATTTATCACAATGCTAAACATCAAGAGATCTTCAGAACTTTGATTGGCCACTAATGACAAAAATTTATTGAAACAAGAATTTAAATTATGCAGGGATACTGATGTATAATTAAATAATACAGAATACCTCATGCAGAGCATGGCATTTATTCTTTTCACTGCGTAAACAAAAACATTTTGTATTGCCCACTGGTGTGAGCATCAAGTTTATCAAATAAAAATACATTAGCAAATCAAATGTTTGCCTTTATTAGAAACCCCATATTTATTTCAATTTATATATAATCTGAGTTTTTAAATTTTTGTGTGTGCATATGTGAAAGTGTTGTGGTCTCCAGTTACAGCATGTAGTGGCTTATCATAACAGTCTGTTGTCGAAAGAATCATTTAATAACTGAATAAAAATCAATTTAATGCTCAAAGGAAATATTTGTTAAAAAGAAAACCTTGCAGTTCTTGAGTGGATATATATATATATATATATATATATATATATATATATATATATATATATATATATATATATGTATATATAATTATATATATTATAGATATATATCAAACATATATTATATATATCATACATATATTATATCATACATGTATTAAAATATATTACTTATATTTTATATATATATATATATATATATATATATATATATAGGCCTATAATATATATATATTGGCCTATAATATATATATATTGGCCTATAATATATATATATTGGCCTATAATATATATATCTTGGCCTATAATATATATATATATATAAAATTATAATATATATATAAGATATAATTCATGCTAACAATACATGGCAGGGGGTGATGTGTAGTATTGATATTTATATATATATATAATAAATATTTGAATACATTGTCAGTATTAGTGATCCATTCATTGTTTTAACAACTTTATGTGCCATGTAATTTATAAGTTACAGTTAATACAATTAATTTTCAAATGGAATTAATTTACTGCAATATTTCCTAACAATTCAAAGCTTAAATTATACACAAATAAATTATATAACTAAAGACACAATCAATTATACAACTTATTGTAAGTAAAGTGATGATTCACAAATAGAATTGACATTTTACTGAAAATTTAACAATCCAGAATATCACAATTTGGAGAACAAAATCCAACAACTATTTCTAAATTTTCACCACTCTAATGTCTTTGATCCATCTGCAGGAAAATTCTAGTCTCAGCTTATTGATTAGTCAGTGCGTCTTTTTTAAAATAGTTCACAATAAACAGACCTAAAACATCTATCACTGGCATTACAACTACCATGTTTTAAAAATACATCTGATACTTCAGATGTGACAGAACTTCATAACTGAATCACTCAAACCTAACATTAACATCTGGTCAGTTTGGTGCACACATGAATATACATGTTTACAATGTTGTGTACTTGATCAAGCCTATGTAATTTAATTAATCTTCTCTAAAAACCTATAATAATATACCAATTGAAACTTAAATTGTGTATGTGTAAGTTAATGCATATAGTGGATTATTTATTTATCCTTTGTATAACATCTTTTATTAAATATTTAAGAGTATACTGTAGAATGTATTGAAAATGTTTTTAAATCTATGATGAGCGCTTATTTTATAGTAATGTTTTTTTTTTCTACTAAGAACCAAAAACGTTAAGTATTTTTTGGGATGGTAAAGTTAAAGAATTTTCTGTAGTCGTAGATAGTATAGAAAGTAGTCAAACTAAACATTGTGTGCATTATCTCAGTTTTCATTTCATTCACTCCTTTCTAACAGCAGGATTGTCGAGTTCATTACAAGCTATCAGTGGTTTGTGGTTAATTTTCTAACTCCACACATTTCTAGTATAGCTAGTGCATCTCTGATGACAGTGTACAATTGTTTCATTTGAAATTAAATGAAACATTGAAAACTTTAAAATTGCTAAATATATCTAAAAAAGGAAAATAGATGATCTGGTGTCCAAGAATGCTGTTTACAAACATTTTTACTACAGGAAAAGAAAAGCATAATACTAATAGGTAAAAAAACATTTCAAAAACAATTTCTAAAATGTCAACATTTTCAAGCTTAAAACTATCTTAATTTTTTTTTAACTGCAAACCCGGAAATTTTCAAACTCAAATCTTGCGAATCCGGAAAGGCAAAAAAATATGATTCTCGTATCCGGAAATCCGGGATATCCCGGAAAAGTGGCACCCCTGCATTTGTTTCAACATGTACGTTAAATTCTAGAGTAGAGTAACCAAGATTTGTACTTTTAGTACTGTTTAAGCCAAGAAAATGTATGTTCTTTTTCTTATTTTAGTGCTCTTAAAAATTTGAATACTTTTTATAAATAAAATAAAAGGAAGAAAAATTAATTACCTGTTAAATTTAAACAATATTTGGATACAGGTTGAGTGACATTCTGTGGTTAACCATAAGTATACTGTATATTGCTGTTCAATATAAGGTGCAGATGTGCAAATTAATGAAATTGCCTCCCATCCCACCCCACAAGCTTTTATGCCACACACCCTTCCTTTGTACATAATAATTTAATGACCCTTAAGCATTGAATAAAACCTTGAACATGCCTATATATCTCTGAGTGAAAATAATACAAGATCTTTGAGCTAAGGGAAATTGGGAATATGAAAGCAAAGAGAATATCATCATTAACATGCAATAATAAAATAATTTTAGTATAAAATAACATTTTTAGGCAAACATTTGTACATGACATTTTTTATTTACAGATCTGTTTGGTGGCTACAAAACACTAGTTTTTCAATAGCAAAGCTTTGTTACACAAATTTCATATCCTAAGAATCATTCCATTCATACAAGCAATCGATGAGAGAATGTCAGCCATCAAATGGAGGACCAAGATACACCATTGATACTTCTGTGTTGCCATAGACAGCAGAGACGGCTGGGTAGAGTTGAGTGTTGGGTAAACCTCGAAACGCCACTCCTGAAGTACAAGATTTCATTTTAAAACCAACATGCAAATTCAAAGATAAACATGCATCTACTAAGTGAACTATCGTCATTTAAGTAAATCACAAGATGTGATACTTTAGTTAACAGATGTGAGACATTATATGTGAGACATTAGATCACCATATTGAGACATTAGACAACATCACAAAACAAGTTATAACAGATAGTTACTCACCTAGAAACTCGTAGTTTTTCTCAAATGCTAAAGTATTGTCTTCACAATCCAATATAACTCTAATACGTTCACCTACCTGAAAAAGAAAATGCTATATTATGCAAGGTAGTATTGTAAACTGATATATTAGCTATGTGAATTTGTGCCTTGAATTGTGTTGAAGAGTATGTTGAGTCTCCCCTGCTTGAAGCAATAGAATTCATACATTAGGCAATTTGGGCAAATTTTTCGGCAATGGTATTGGCTTATCTATTTACTGAGTAAGATAAAAAAAGTTTATGTTTACTCTAAAATACTAATGAAGATCTGTCTAATTTAATCTCATAAACAACTTTTTTTAAATTAAATTTTACAATTTAACAAAAGTGGAAATGAAGTTTATTGATAGCCAAAAAAAAATTGTTATTTATGCTTTCGGGATAGCTGATGATTGTTAGGGGGTCATCCATAAATCATGAAATGATGTTATGCTTTTTTTGAAGACTTTTACCTCACCACAGTCTCCAAAAGCCAAAACACAGCCTAAAATGACATCACATCTAAATCAGCGCCCTCATCCCACCCTCCACCTCAAAAACTGCATTTGAATTTTTTTTTCTATAATATTGACTGAGCTTGACCAACATAGGGTATATCAATCAATTTCTAATACAATTTATTAAAACTGTTTTCTAAATTGTGAAATAAGTGCTAAAATTCAGTTTCTAACATTACTTTTATTTTTAAACGTAACAGTGTGACATCAACATCACACTATCTGACCCACAGCTTCCCCCCCCCCCCCCCAATCACACATTGTCACAAAATTACAGACTACCTTGATTCCCCCCCCCCCCCCCCCATGTGACAACATTTATGGACAATCCCGTATTAAAAATAGTTTTGACATCAGTAGGCCTATAGCATGTCGTAACAGGAACACAGCTAGTAGAGATTGACTGTGACATCATTTTTATTTTTCCCAACCAAACAGTACAAAACAGATCCAAGAGGGGTGGGTTAGTCTAGTCCTCATAGTCACCTTTTGCAAGGATTTCAAGTGCCCCCCCCCCCCCCCCCCCCAGAGAAAAAAGTCTGGAAGAAACACTGCTTACATTGATTGTTATTAATAAATAGGTGGTCCGTTCTGACTAAAAGAAATACTAATAAATGTACCATTCACTCTTTTATGTGTATAAACAGTATCAATAACATGAAAAAGTTATCCATTGGTTACACTTCGTCGCTTTTTGCGACATCCGGCAACAAGACATAAAATTGTACTTGGGTGCCAAGCGGGTATAGCGGAATAGGATGCCTCGCCATTGCTCAAGTATGATTAAAAATAAGTGAAGAATGTACAATATAGTCTTTGCCTATGTATATAAGTTCACTTTTGAACATTTGAGTTCACCTGTTTTATTGAGAGAGAGAGCGATGCTGGAATAATATGATCATGCTGCTGGGTACAATATAACAAATTTAGCTTTGAAATAGCATTGTGAGGTGGTGGACCACTATCCTGGATACTAGCAAAGAAAGGTCTTCACAGTGACCATGACAAAAATAACACTGAGCATAGACCTACACCTCATGATTAACACAGTATGGTTAAATACTGACAATTTACTCATTGCAGTGTTACTGAGTACCCCGTCAGTGGCAGTGTTATTTAGTACACACAGCTTCAGCACTGAGTACCCAAAAAAGTGACACTGAACACCCATTGATTCAGCACACTGAACACCCATTGATTCAGCACTAAGTACCCACAGCCGAGATACTGAGTACCCACAGCTAAGAATGAGTTCCCAAAGCAATGATATTGAGTACCAACAGTACCAGCACTGAGTACCCACAACAGTGACACTGAACACCCATTGATTCAGCACACTGAACACCCATTGATTCAGCACACTGAACACCCATTGATTCAGCACTAAGTACCCACTGCAGAGATACTGAGTACCCACAGCTAAGGATGAGTTCCCACAGCAATGATATTGAGTACCAACAGTACCAGCACTGAGTACCCACAGCAGTGACACCAAGAACTGACAGCACTAACATTGAGTACCCACAGCTTCAACACTGAGTACCCACAACTTTAGCTCTCAGTAAATATGGCTTTAACACTCAGTACCCACTGCTTCAGCACTGAGTATTCACAGCAGTAGCTAGAGCACTGTCATTGGGTATCCATAGCAATATCATTCGAGTACCACAACAGTAGCACATGGTACCAAAAGCAGAAACATTGGATACCAACAACAATGGCACTGAGTACCCACAGCAGCTGCATTGAGCATGGAAGAATAAACAAAGGCAGAACACTGTCATTTAGTAAAGTGTTTGTTCTTGTGCTTTGTGTGTATCGCAAATATATGTCGAATGAGTAATATGCAGGGGTGCCACTAATTTTTTTATTTAAGTGAATCCTGAAAATTGATCCCAAAATTTTACCAATCCTGAAACTAAAATTTGGAATTTTTAAAACCCAGAAACTTAATTTTGAACGTAATTTTGAAATAAATGTGAGTGTTATTTCATTATTTTTTCAGACATGTGATTCATATCATGTTCAATATACATTCTTTTAAAATAGATTTATTTTCTTTGTAACAAGCTTCAAATAAAAATTAATATTTACAGGATTGTGCATACAACAAAATTAGTTTACAGTGTTAGTCCCATCTCTAGGTCTACCCCATAATGTATTATTCTAGAACCCCCCCCCCCCCAATTCATGTAAACCACAATACAAAACAACTGTTTATGTTACTATTACTTTGTTTATAGTGACAGTAGTCACACTTTATCTTCTGTTAGTAATACAGAAATGTGTAGAAATATCTTAGAAATTTTTTAGTAGGCCAGAACTATAACAAGTGGTAGAACTACAATACAAATGTACACTGTTGTATGCCTTTTATAACATACCCAGGTATTTAATTTTTTAGCACTTCCTATCTTGATTTAAAGTGTGAAGTCAGCAACTGTTAAGTAACAAATAATTTGCTAACCTCAATGTCTTGTTCTTGAAAAATTAACATACTATATGCATGACCCCTAATAAGATTGTCACTGTATTACATACAAGTTGACTTACTGTAGTTATTCAGGGCTTTAATTATTAACAGCCACAACAAAAATCTAAAACCCTATGTTTTCCCAATTAACCACCAATGTCCCCACCTTCATTTACGTGATGATGTAAAGAAATATCGCAGAAGTTTAAAGCTCATGTCACAGAATGAGAATGACAGAAACAAGTTGTTTTTTTTAGTAAGAAATATTTTCAGAAGTAACTACGCTAATACTATGCGAATTTTACCCCCCAACCCATATTGTCATTAATAGCCAGACAGCCACACCACGAATGACATCAAAAATTTCCATCTACAGCCTCATCCATCTGATACAGCCAATTTCTATTTGGTCCAAAGCGCATGTGAGATTGTCTGTGACATCATTTGCCATCAGTTTTTTTCACAAACGCAATAATAAATAGGTCTACTGAAGCCTACTGGCATTTGGACATTTTATTGATAAATAGTTACAGATCTAGATCCAGCCCTATACTATACTGCAAGGTCATGGTTAGTTAGGATAGACCTAGAAGACAATTTAAAGTCACAGTGACCGAAACATCAACATGATGTCAGGTAGACAAAGGCCACGAAAGTGACGGCGTAATAAGGATGATAATTCTAGGTTTGTCCTAATACCTGTACTGTAGGCAAAGCATAATACTTGATTTAGATAGGAATGTGTGGAATGCACATGTGGGCTGTTTCCATAGAGGTAATTTTGGTTGTCGTTTTTTTCCAAATTTTTTAAATGTAAAAAATTGACAAAAATCATAAATCTATGAAAATTTTTGGAAAAAAATGAAATATTCTGAAATGCGAAATTCAGAATTTAGCTAAAATCTGAAACGTTACATTCCTGAACTATGAATACAGTACAAAAAAGGCTATTCATAGTTCACCACAAATATTCTATAAATTAGTAGGGATTTAGGTAAAAAAACACTAATCATCATATAAAAATAAAAATTACATAATCTTGTAGAGCTCAACTATATGAAAACAAAACAAAAAAGATTTTCTGTCTAGCTCAAATAGTTTTTTTTAGTGAATTTTTTTGTCAGGGGTGGAATCCCCTTGTTTTTGCATTGGCCAATTGTGACAAGTCATGGTATGCCTGAATAAATTGAGCATAGTTATTTTACTTGCAGTTGTATTTTGTTCATATTTGCAGAGTTTAGCTAGAATGATATATAGAACTTGTATATGCTGTTGAAATGAATAAAAATAATACAGAAGTATATTTTTGTGTTGGCTTCCTTCCATAACCCCAAAATAACTGAGCTGCGCAAATATGAAAATGTTACTAAAGCAATGTTTTACAGTGAATGAAAGAACTACATAGTTAGCAATCAAAAGTAAATGACTTGAACACTGTAATGTGCATATAACTGCCCCATTATTTTAGGCAGGTGAAGTAGAGTCCATCTTTAAGCCATTTTGTTATAAAACTGTGCTGCGCAAATATGAAAAAGTTTCTAAAGCAATGCTTTATATAAATACAGTGAATGAAAGAACTACATAGTTAGCAATCTAAAATAAATGACTTGAACACTGTAATGTGCATATAATTGCTTTATTATTTTGGGCAGGTGAAGTAGAGTCCATCTTTAAGCCATTTTGTCAAAAGAGAACTGAAGTTATCTGATCATTGTTTTTATAGGTGTATTGTGTATGAATTCTGATTTTCAGCATATACATATAACTATAAGTAAGGGTAAGTAGAACTTGAATACTTAAAATTACAGTTAGCACATAGCTAGTGTAGTGTATTCTAGCAACAGACAGGTAACCTATGTCTGACTCAGCAAAATTTTACTTCAAGCAAAACTAGAACCAGAGTTGAAAAAATGAAAGACAGGTATACTAAAATATTTTTAAAACAACAAGTAGGAGATTTGTTTGTACATTACATAAGAATACTGTTGTTAGTGCATCAAAACTAAAAGCCGGCAGATTGGGATGAAGAAATATAACATTAGCGTCAATGGGGGCACCGTGACCTATTTACAGTGACTACTTTCAAATGAGTATTTACTAATATCAGAGTCGAAATATCCAAAAATAAATATCATTTCTATGAAAATGGGATGAATCTGCTTTGGAAACTTTCATTATCTAAATGGAAACTTTTCACAAATCGCGTTTTTAACGCATTTGAAGTTAACCTTTATACAGCGGTAAGACCAAAGCAGAGACAGCATGCAATCAGATCGCTAAGCCATCAAAACAACTGGAAAACCATTCTACTTTTCATTTAACATTAGGAAATGACCTTTTAAACTTAATTAATTACCATAAATTAAAAACTTATTAGTATGCAAAACCAAATCTCGTGCGCCCGGTATCAGAAAGTAATGGGAGATTTCGGGTCATGCTTTTACCACGATCTCGGCCGATACCGACAACCCTAATATTAGCATACATCTAATAAAGAACGAAAATACTCAGGTGAACATGGGCCTACTTGATATTTTGGTGCATTATTTAAAGGTGGATAGTTTCCTTGACTATCTCCATTGTGAATCAAATGATTATCCACAAGATTCCATCCCCAACTGTTGCTGTCTCCACCAACAAGAGGAAAATAGCCAGGACACTGAACAGGAGAATCTCTGGTCATTAAACCGATCATTGCCACTGTACCTAGGGGACCTTCCCACCAAACTTCCCAACAATGTCGTCCAGTTTTGAAACCTATTTTTCCTCTTGCACCATCCGTTGTCTGAGCTACTGGGTTTCTGTGAAGTGTAAAACCATTAGGTTTAATATAAACGTTTCTAGAGCAGTCATTTGGGTTCCAGGCATGATAAAACGCCCTTAATTTTGCTTTGTAAGTTGGGACGTTGCTAAGAAGATCTGATTTTAGCGCTTCCTCTGCCAACTTTCTTACACAATGAAGTCGCCAGACATCGTTGTTTTCATCATTTAAAAATCGATACCAATTTTTACACACTAATGAGCAGCTTCTTAGATCGGAAATATCCAAATACGAGAAAAGAACTTCTAACAATCGATGGGGTAACCTGGCAGCCGCCATTATTTTAAGAATGATCTTTAGGGTTTGGAGTATACAATAGTATAAATAGATCTAGTCTAAATTCCTAAATGCAGTATTGACCATGGACTATGCCCACATTATTATCTTGATATTGAGAAGCAATAAGATTTTAAGTTTAAACCTTAAAAATAGAAGAGGCCCCCGCCCCAGCATCTCCAGAGCCGCCGTCAGCTCTTTGAATTACTAGGTCTTTGGTTAAGTGGTCTATAAATTATAATAGCCTCCTATAATTTGTAATGCAGAAAAAAAAAAAACAGTGTATGTTTTGCCTTTAAGCTAGCGTTCAGAGTTTCTTCCAGGCATCTCTTCGGGAGGCTCCGCCTCCCCCCCCCCCCCCCCCCCAAAGAAAGTCTACCACCCCCCCCCTCCACCGAACGAAATAGAATTTATATAGAAAACATATATTTTTTACCCCCCCCCCCCCCCCGCGCTTTATATTTTTGAAGGTTTCCAGTATTTATTTTCGTCTCTCAAATTTATTTATAGTAGTTATTCTCCATGTCTCAGCTCCATTGAGTAAAATAGGTTTTACTAGTGTGTTGAAGATCCGGATTTTTATTCCAAGGGTTAAATCTCCAGAACCCAAAACATTTTTTAGTTGGTTGAAGACTTCTCTTGCCGTGCCCGTCCTTATTTTTACTTTCTCGTATATACGAAGTATAGAGAAAGTCTTGCAATCGTGCAAAAAAAATCGAGACTTTTACAAATCTCGACGTTTTACACCTCACTGATACGGAAAAACATAGTTTTGCACTCTTGTATGTATGTTTGTGTGTCTGTCTGTGTGTGTGTCTGTCTGTCTGTGTGTAAACACGATAACTTGAGTACCGTTACAGCTAGGTTGATGAAATTTTATATGTCTGTGTGTATGTGTGTCTGTAAACACGATAACTTGAGTACTGTTATAACTAGGACAGGTTGATAAAATTTCATATATAAGTATTTTAACAAAATCGTAGATCCTGATCAACTTTTGAGCGATTTTCAATAACCGAAAGTGGTACTTTTTCTACTTAGAATTTTTTAAAAGCCTATAACTTGAGTACTATTTCAGATAGATAAATGAAATTTCACATGTAAGTAAAAGATCTAACTCTTTACCTTCTGGTAAATTTTGAGTAATTTATAAAGTACTTAGAATATTGCGCACTATTATGCACATTTTTTTGCGTTCACTTGGTGTGCAATTCTGTTTTTTTTTACGAGATTCTATTCTTTTTTAAAAAGTATAAGTAATTAAACATGGATTTAAAATATTGTCTATATCCCGAGTTGCCATCTCCCGTACTGTTATATAAGAATATTCTAGAAAGTTGAGGGGAGATCACTCCCGGTTTATTTAAATTTTAATCACAAACCTTTTTTCAGAATTTTACAAAAAAAATTCGAAAGCTCAAATAGAATCTAGATGTAGATCTAGGTAATCTATCGTTTTAGCGTAATCAATTGGGCCGTCGCTAGTAATGTAGGGATAAGGTAACTAATAAATATGGCTTAAATATGAATATATTTTTGCATATTCTACTAAAATTCTAAAGATAATTGAATATTAAACCACAGTTATGACTAATGTCTACAGACAAAAAAAAACAACTAGGCTTAAATGGATCACCCATAAATGACGTCACATTTTTCCCGATGAATTCCCTTTCCCCCAATCGTCACTAAAAGCAAAATGACGATTTAATAGCATATCGCAGTTCTACTATACTATACCCCAACCCTTAATCACAATTTCTAACGAAAACAAATGTATTCTTCATCATTTAAATGAAAAATATTTTACTCCGTCCTAGATCTATATTTTGAGTCCAACGTCATTTTTATGAGGAATATATATGCACGACCTAAGAATTGACAAGTTAATCAGTAGCCTACAAAAAGTTTTTGAGATCTTGGATGTACATACATTACATACATAGCCTTCATTTCAATTGAAATTAAAGATAAGAAGACGGCCCTCTGTCCTACTTATATTAAACAAGACAGCTATGTATATTAAACAACAGTCAACACAATATACATACGAATAGACATTTTTATCAAGGGAAACTACTCTAAAGTTTATCTAGAAAGATGGCCGCTGTTTTTGTCTACTAATCTAATATTTATAAATATTTATCTCAAACACCTTGTTTAAAGTTAGTTTCATTAAATTTTAAGATGTTTTGGTCACTGATTGTTATTTTAAATTAATTATCTGTTTAATTTTGTAAAATTTGACTTAAATTTAATATAGGCTACTTATTTAAACAAATATATTCATCAGTAGGGCCTACCTCTCCCGCACATTTACAAGTGAACATTGAACTAGTCTATGGTAATCTATCGTTTTGGGTAGGCCTACGTAAAATCGCCCGCGATTTGTAATGTGAAAAACAGGTGACTCCTTAAATTTTAATAATTATTTCACATTTTGAGGAGGATTTATGTTTTAAAAAATTCAAAAATGTTTCCTTGATTCATTTATGACGGGCTGCTGTTTATATAATATATATTAAATAGGTAATCTATCGTTTTGGGTACGTAAAATCGCCCGCGATTTGTAATGTGAAAAACAGGTGACTCCTTAAATTTTAATAATTATTTCACATTTTGAGGAGGATTTATGTTTTAAAAAATTTAAAAATGTTTCCTTGATTCATTTATGTACCTGTTTTTAAACAATTGAATTAAAACTTTTCCGTAATAAATGAAGACTAGCGATGTTTCCAACAGATGCAACCATGCTCATTTACTATAGCAGCCATCTTGTCTAAGTTTTATTTTTATAAGCTTTTAGCGCCAGATTCAGGGGGAAGCCACTCTATTTTACAAATGGCTGCTGTTTATATAGCAAATCTTGCTCTCAGACACTGCTGTTTAAAGTTAATTTCTGGCCTATATCGATATATTTAGCCATTGATTTAGGTTTATTATTCATTTATCTATAATATTTGACACAAAAGTATGACAATATACTTCTATTAAAGCCTTGACAATGAGGTAACGTTTTCGTACATAAATAGCCGCGGGCGATTTTACGTACCCAAAACGATAGATTACCATTAAATATTATATAGCAAATCTTGCTCTCAGACACTGCTGTTTAAAGTTAATTTCTGGCCTATATCGATATATTTAGCCATTGATTTAGGTTTATTATTCATTTATCTATAATATTTGACACAAAAGTATGACAATATACTTCTATTAAAGCCTTGACAATGAGTTAACGTTTTCGTACATAAATAGCCGCGGGCGATTTTACGTACCCAAAACGATAGATTACCTAGTCTATTAGTATTACTACGGCGCTAAAGTGGCTAAAAGATTACTAAGATTACCCTTAAAAAAAATATTCATGAAAATGGCAGCCTCCTAAAAATGAGACAAGATTCTATGTAGAAGGCGCATATATATTAATATTTTATTAGGCTATATTAATTAGGCCTAATTGCGTCGTAAATGGACACCAGCGAGTTGACAAGATTCCTTCCATAATGTTGTTGACATGGAATAAAAACAAGCTTTTTAAATTTAGACCGTAAAAAAAAAACTTAAGCCTAAAATTAATTTAGAAATTTTATATTTTTAGAATAAATGCCATAAAAGTTGCAAATCCAGAGAACTTGAAAATAATTTGTTGAGTTTAAGGCTACATTTCTATTTATTTTCATCAAGCCTAAGTTATAACAGGATGTTTCACTTTCGTAAGACAAATATTGATTGGCTGTACAGTAACGTAGTGATCGATAACTATTTGTTTACAAAACTTTGCAGATCAAGTTTTTAAATAACAATGCAAATGTAAACCCCATGACCTAGTTTTTCGTTTTTTAGCTTACAATGTGTACAATAAAATTTATGGCGGCCTATCAAATAGCAGGATGCCATTGTTTATGTCGCCTTACACGTGAAAACCAAATTTTTTTTGCTTTTTTTTTTTTCTTTTTATATAGTTACCGAAAATATTAAAAACATCAGATACATCCAATCTTTAGTAAAGTCCGAAAAAAACCAGACAGGCAGGATTTTATAACCATATTAATTGTAACTACGCCGTGCATGATTTTTAAATTAATTTATGGACCTCTCAAATACCTTTGAGACTTTTCTAGCTCGCGTCCATTCGGCCAAAACTAGTAATGTGGGAGAGAATGATCAGTGAATTAATGAATATGTCATTAAATATGAGTATATTTTCGTATATCTTGATAAAATATTATAGATAATTGGGTAATCTATTGCTTTAGGTACGTAAAATCGCCTGCTACTAGTAATGTGAAAAACAGGTGACTCCTTAAATTTTAATATTTATTTCACATTTTTACAAGGATTTTAGTTGTGAAATGTACAAAAATGTTTCAAAATTTCATTTAGTCTATGTACCTGTTTTAAAAAAAAATTGAATTAAAACTTTTCAGTAATAGATGAAGACTAGCGATGTTTCCAACAGATGCAACCATGATCATTTACTATAGCAGCCATCTTGTTTAAGTTTTTTTTTTTTTGTAAACTTATATAACTAAGTTATAGCGCAAGTTTCAAAGCGAAGCCACTCTATTTTACAAATGGCTGCTGTTTATATACTAATCTTGCTAGCAAACACTGCTGTTTAAAGTTAATTTCTGGCCTATATTGATATATTTAGCCATTGATTTAGGTTTATTATTCATTTATCTATAATATTTGACACAAATATACCACATACTTCTACTATTACAGCCTTGACAAAGAGGTAACTTTTTCGTACATTACTAGCCGCGGGCAATTATAAAAAATGTTTGCATCTGCCAAGTCCAGTACATTTTACAAATATTGAGATTGAGTTATAACTATACTCATTAACGAGACTCTATTTTCAACCTAATTAATTAGTCTATCACTTTTTATCTGCCTTTTTTTATAATCAGTACAAGCGTGATCCCATGAACACCTTGTGTTGGGCATATAGATTAATTCCTCTATTAGACAGACACTGAAAATATGTGGTTGCACTTCAAACAATAGGGCAAGGAAAATTGGAGAACAACTTTCAACAATAAGTTTGGTTAAATTATATTTTTATAATTAACTATTATTTCTTCAATTACAAACAACACTGATTTCTTTAAAACTCGTTTGAGATTTAATTAAAGAAATAATAAGTAATAATTAAACATGTAACAGTAATTTTTTAGGAGGGCCTAGAGAAGTTATACATTTTAAAATTGTGTTTTCAAAACACTCAAGTTCAGTATAATATACTGTATATTTAAGTTAGCCTATCTTTTGCGATCAGCTGATCAGGATGGGCTTACTACGCATCGACGCATACACACTCATCTGAAAATTCAGAACATGTCCTATGTTTAAGCTCGCTAAGCGAGTAATTTCCGTTGACTGGAAGTACTAATTTACGCTATTTCCGTTTTCTCAAAAAACTCATGTAAATTTATAAAGTACTAATAATATTCCGCACTATTATGCACATTTTATTTGGCGTTCACTGGTGTGCAATTCTTTTTTCACAAATTTTATTCTATTTTAAAAAGTTTAAGTATTTAAAATGGATTAAAATTCATGTCAAATATCTCCCATCCCCTGTTTTTTTTAAAAGAATATTCGAGAAAGTGTAGGGGAGATCACTCTCGGTTTATTTTAATAATTTCATAAAGCTATTAAGAAGTTGATGCAGGGCAGTCCTGAAAAAAAATAATTATTTTTTGGGGGGGGGGGGGGGGGGTCTAGGCCAAACTTTTTGTTGTCATTTGTTGTGTGACTGTCTAGCTCAGGGGTCGGCAACCTGCGGCTCGCGCCGCATGCGGCTAATTTGGTGTCGAGATGCGGCTCTTCAACTCCATTCACAAATATTAATAATTATTTTATCTTATTTTCAAAACTCATAAAAATATTTTTCTGCAATACTCAATAATTAACGAAATAATAATAAGCATAAACAATAAAAACTCGCTATTCTATTAGAATATTAGCTACTCCCTATTTCATTGTAATTCTTATTAACTTGTCTATCCCAAATTGAAACATTCGACTTCATAGGGGGATATCACAAAGAAACTAAACGAGCTAAATGTAAAACTGCAAGGTAAGGAAACCCAGCATATGCCTTTCTTGAAGAAGTTTGTTTCGAAAAAAAAAATTACTTCATTTTTTTGAAGACACGGAGAGTGGTAAATTACTTTATTTCGAATAATTTGAAAAAAGAGGGATAAAACCAACACTAACATGAATTGCTTCATCATTACTATAAACTAAATGAAGTATGGGTTCACTGAGATATATGAGCAATGCAAAAGAACTGCAAGTACTCTGTCATTCATAGTAGATCCTCTCAACACAAAAACAATTGAGATTTACTTTGAGCTATTTGGAATTGATGCTGGTTCGCTTCAAATGAAATTGCCAGATTTAAAAACAAAATATTTGTGGAGTGGTAAGTTCACATATATTAAGAGCAAGTTAGAAGATTTGGAGGTCCAGTAAAACATGCACGTTTCGCCGCACAAGTGTACAGCTCTAAAAGAAATGTCGCGAGTGGAGGCACTATTATGTGACGGATGGAATAGTCTTCCAGGATGCTACAGTGAGGTGAAGAAGTTGGCACTTGGAGTGCCGACGATCTTCGGGTCAACATTCATGCAAGCAAGCGTTTTCTTGCATGAATAGAATAAAAGGATTGAAGCCAACTAAGTAATAAAATCTAGAGGCGTGCTTGAAACTGAAAACAAGTTATGAGCCAGGTTTAAACAAACATTCAAAAGGCTTGGAAGGCGAAGCTGTTGTAAATACTATTCAATAATAAAAGTTATATAATTTGATTACTGATTTTATTATTCTAGCAGAGCTAGATAAAATATGTTAATATTTGTTCTGCGAAACATGTGTATGTTTTTATAATTAATGTGTATAAACTTAAAAGTGTTTTGCATTTAGAGTTTCTTTCATAGAATTCTTCGGGTAGTGGCTAAGCGCGACACCAGTTTTTCTTTAAGACTTTTTCCTCAGAGGAGAGGGGAACTTTAAATTTTCTAATCTAAAAAGTGTTATGCGTGCACAGTTTCTACCGTTAGTTTGAATGATCTACAAATGTGACCAGTGTTTCTTTCAGACTTTTTCATCCCGGAGAGGGAGGGGGGGGGGGTGGAATTTTCTGGGAGTG